TATGGGAACTTGAATTTTGTCCCTATATCCCACTTAAATTCCATAGCTCTTGCCACAGGATTATTTTTATTTCTTGCTGAGCCAGAAAGGAAAGACTGTTTTGCTGAAGGTGTCCATGAAATAGTTTGCAGCTGCAAACAGGTCTGCACTGTCAGCTTCAAGCAGAAGTCCCATTTCCCCACCCACACAGTATTTTAAGTTTCTGGAAATACTGTTTTAGCAGCTGTTTGGCACACAGATATGAATTCACAGTTTCATTGTGTAGAATCTTGCAGATTGACTTGTCTTGCTTAACAGAGATGGGAGAAGGTCCCTGTTCTCTTTCCTACGCTGCAGTTTAATGAAGTTTCAGAGGTGAGGACACTTCAGGGACTGCAGATTAGCCCACACATAATGGATGGAACTGTTCAGTGAATATTTCAGATGGAGTGCTTAGCACTGAAATAGCTGTCATTTAAGTCATGATTCTTAGCTTTCCTCACTAATGGTTGAGTGTATGCATCTCCGAGATTTTAGATAAACCTTCTGTCCAGAGTTTAAAGGTTCAAACTTCAGAATATTCTCTGGCTGTAAAAGCAAGAAATTTACCAACAATACTCTCTTATTCTTTAAAATTTGAGGGGCTGCAACAAAGAAAAGAGAGCAACCCCTAATGTAGTCCAAACCATGATCTGTGCCTAGATAAGGCAACAAGAATGAAAAACCAGAGACTGGAAAACCAGAGAGAAAGCCAGATAAAAATACCAATAAATGTATGAAGTTATATATCTGCTTTTGACTCAGGTGTTTTACTCAGTGAAAGATTTATGTTCAGTTTTGTCTGAACTACTGAGCTTGGAGGTTTGATGCTTTAATATTGGTTAATTCTGCAGTGTAGATGGAAGTAGTTGCCAACTCAGCTTGTGACAGCTGCTGGCATGTTGTGCTTCTCACTAGTTTACTGTGGGCTGCTGCTTTGGACCAGAGTGCACAGAAGTGACCATCATAAAATGCACTGCGGAATTCAGTTGGTTGCATAATATGAATTTGATTCCACAGTTTGAAACCTTTTGAGCTTTTGCAGCAATCTTTTAATGAGAAGAGGAACTGAATGGAGTCTCTTTCCAGGGAATGACCCTTCCAGGTCAGGAATGAGACATAATAAGAAGGTATCATGTGGGAGGTTTCCACAGCTGCTGTTCTAAATATAATTAAAATACATCAATCTCAAGTGGTATTCTTTGCCATTCAACACCTGCTTCAGAAAAATATGAAGTGAGAAAGTCACAAGCTCTAATAAAGTTTCTAGTTCCATTGTCCTTTCAGTTTCTTTCAGCTCTCACTCCATATTCTGTGCACCTTGGCTTAAAAATAGCAGCCTACAGCACCTACTGTGCAGAAACAGCAAGGGTAATTGAAAAGGTTAAAGGTTCAAGTTTTTGCTCTTGGAGTAAGCTTAGGTTTGTGTTCAGAGAATCTGACATCTACAATTTTCAGTTCTGTAGATAGGATATAGAAATTCAAGACTAGCCCATCTGCCTGAGAACATTTTCTTTCTCCAAACCTAATAATTCATGATAAGCCTTAATATAGTTGATATAATACTTTGCAGGTCAGACAGAGAAAATATTTTGATTCAGGTGTCTCTTTCAAGTATCTTGTAAAGCTTTCAAAATTATCCAGAACTGAGAGGCTCTCTTTCTATGATGTTTTTTTTGCCACAGAGGTACTTAAACCCTCTGAGGCAGATTCCTTCTCTGATGGAAGTGGTCTCTTGATTCAGTCACAGCACTTGGATATTCAAAGGTGTTTTTCTCATTTGTCTTATTCTCAGCCAGAGCATATGTAGACTATGTAAATGTTACTGGGTCTTCTGGGATGTGCCCATAACAACTTTGAATTTACTCAGACTCCCTTGACTGAACATGCTCTCCATATGGATTCAAAGGAAGTTTTAGTGTCCCAACATTCTGCTGTGCCATAAGATACCAACATAGGTTCATCAGTGTGTGTCTGCATAGTGCACATATCTGTCAAAGCTAATTTCTATTTTGTTATTTTTTCCAAGGTCCAGTAAAAACAACAGAATGAGACAGACGTACCTTATACTTCCTTATCTATTATTAATTACAGAGTTTTTAATCACATGCCTCAGCATACATATTTTTATTTACTATACTATCCATATTTATCAGCAGACTCTACAACATGAGTGCTATATGTGGGTTATTTGGGTAAAATAAGCATTTCCTGCAATCATTTTGCAAAGCAGGACTGGTTTGGCACACTTTCCATTCAGTTACCTCACAAGTACAAGAAAAAAATTCAGTGATCACTATTAACCTACCAACATATATCTTACCTGGGATCTAAGAATATGGATGGATATTAAGTCTGGTCCTTAATGTCTAATCAATGTACAGTGACAATTTCAGTGGTTATTACAATGCTGTGTGTCCTGTTTTGCACCATAAATAGCCCATCACTGCACAGGTCTCATCCATGGACAGCAGTTGAAGTAGTTTGAGCTTACCTTCCCAAATTAATGTAGTATTTCTGTAATATTCTGTAGTTATATTTTTATGTATCTGCAGTAAAAAAAACCTGTTGCCACAGTAACTTTTTTCCTGTTTATTTGTGTTATACATCCAGAATTGTCACTTAGGGTACCTATCCAAAAGACTAAAACTAGTTTAAAACGTGTGTAGAACTAAGCTTGTTTCAAAAAATGTGATTTAGAATGTAGAATTATTCATGGAAGTTACCAGTTTTAATATTTTATTACCTAAGCCACTGCGGTGGTCTCTGAAAGCAGAAAATAATATGCCAAATCTTTGTTTTATAAGAATGGGCTGCCCAGGCAGGTGGTGCAGTCTCCATCCCTGGAAGTGTTTAAGCAAAGCCTGGCCATGGTCTGATTCACAAGGTGGTATTGGCTCATAGGTTGGACTCAATGATCTCAAGGGTCTTTTCCAACTTAGTTAATTCTGTGATTCTGGGATTCTTCTGCAGTGCATGGTTAATGCTTTTCACTGTAAGCTCACAGTGAGTTAAGTTTATGAAGGTGGGTGCAATGACCTGATCAAATAAAACTTTTAGAAGTAGAGGAATAATCAGAATTGTTTTCCATCAGAACTGATCTTGAGGATTTTTCTCACTATGCTGAATGAAGAATTAAACAATATTTGCAATACCTATTTGTGTGTCTTTAAGGTCAATGTAGAAGGAAAACTTTAAAGTATCAGTGGCTTTAATTTTAACTAAAATACCTTCCTGTGATGCTGTCATGGCTATTTTCTTACAATACTACCATGAATAATAGTCATTCTATTAATTCATGAACAATATAGAAAAGGTATTTTAAAATTATAGTGTGACTTGTATTTCACTGTATATTTCACTTTTTACTTCATGCTGTCCATGGCAAACATCACTTGTATAACATGTACCATGGAAAGTGTGTGGAGGAAAGCACACAATACCTTGGGATAGGGAAGGAAACAGCACTTCATAAATTTGGATCACTCACCGTCTAGCTCTCCGTTTTATAGATTCCTTTATTTTTTTCAAGTAATTGCAATTAGCAGATTTTTATCATGTTTAAAATATTTTCTAGCAGAACTAAGTAAACTAGATATAGAAAATATACTCAGTAAAAAATCATTAAAATCCTTGCAACAGTATCCCAGAGACAGCACATTCCTCATGATAATCCATGTCACCAGTTTGTTGAAATTTTATTTTTTGTAGGTTATTTTGCTGCCTCTGCCTGTTATCATGCTTACTGCTCATCTGTTTAGATAAGGCTGGTCTCCTTTTATTAGGAACACGGTCTAGTTTGATTCTCTTTAGATTAAAGCAGATCATTAAGTATAAATTTCTCTGAGTATTCAGTCTCATCATAGGCTATTTTCAAGCATCATTTGCAGGAAGATAAAACATGACAGTGATTTATGCTGTATTTTGAGACTATAAATCTCACTGTGCACTTTCATGTGTCTTTGCAGAACAAAGAATTTCTTTATTAATGCTTTCATAGTAATCAGCAAAGTATAAAAGCACCATTCTTTTGTTTAATGTTGTGTTCTTTAGAGTCTTAGAGTTGGATTATGCAGACTGTTGGACTCAAACTTGCAACACTACACCATCAGTGTGTGGAGTTTTTAAACCACATAAATCACAATTCAGTTCTGTGCATATTTTATGTTTGAGAGACTGGGGAAAGTTTTGTGATTGGAATCTGGTCTCTAGGCATGATGATAACACAAAGCACTGGGTATGCCTAGAAACAGGATGTGGCCATTAAGAAAATGGATAAAAGGGCAGTGAGAAAATAGGGTGTCACAACTGATAGTAAAGAGAGAGACTTTCAGAGTATTTTATTACTAGTTCTGTGGGGGAATAAAAACCTATGGGAACTTAGTATAAAGTTGGTTTATTCTACAAATGTTATCATTTGTGAATGAGAAAAAATGCTAATGGGAAAAATTAGAAGTTTTTTTAAGTTTCCAAATGAATCAAATTATATTAAAGTGCAACCTCTGACTACCTGTCTCTGTGGTGACAATGATATTGTGTCATATGAACCTTGAAAACAGGGGAATTATCTTGCCTGGTGTTGCAGATTATTTATCCACAGAAGTATTTGCTAGTTAAATGCCTCTTCTACATAATAAAAATTTTCTGACTTCATAAGTGCAGATCAGATTTGTCTGAAACATACCATTTTGTACTCCAATGGTTTTAGTTTATTCTTAATTACATGTTAAGCATAACTGTAGTTAAAGGTCAGATATTAAACACATTCAAAAAGATCAACCATTGTATTACACACAACAAAAACCAATTTTGTCAGGAAGACATTAATGGCAGAAATATATTTTTAAGCGACTGTACTGCTTAACCATTAATACTTTCTTAGAAAGGGTTTTTCCTGTGAATTACACACCTGTATATGAAGTTCCACTAGATATGTTTTAAATGCAGTATTAACTGATATATCTTTTGCATTTTACTTTCAGGTCCGTATTTTTACCTATCTGATTGGAAGAGAAGCTGCATTTGCTGATAACCTGAAGTGGATGGCCTGTGCTAACAAAGGTTGGTTAACCTTCTTCTGTGAAATCCTTGTTTTCAAAACCCCTGAGCTGAGCCCTCCTGCACATCTGACCCTTCTACAGACATGGCACTAATCGCAGAGGATGGGTTGTTTTCTTTTTCCTGGAAAATGAAAATACTTAATTATCTTCTGACACACAATTTAAAGAGCAAAAACCCCCAATTCAAAATTTTTTCCTTAAAATAGGTATGAAGCTTTTAAATTATGTGGTCTTAAATTTTTGTTCAGAGAACAAACTAATTTCAAAGCATTTGTTCTCTTCTATCTGTTGTTACTCAGAGTGAGTTTGGTTTCTGAGAACATTGGGTACAATCCTGCTGAGTTAGGCAGGATTGTAAAACACCAGACATCCTTTCCCTTGAGGAACTGACAGTGTAATTGAAAAAACTGGTTTATATCCTTTAAGGAAAAGAGCTTTAAACATTCAAAATGCTGAGATGCTGCAGTAAAAGGATTGACTAGTATAAGTAGGAATGACTCAGGCAAAAAACAGCCCCAAACCCCAATTAATCTTCACGTTTTCCTTTTTCTTTCCCCTTGGAAAAAAAAAAAAAAAGTTCTTTTTTCCATTGTGCCACATTACATTATGATGAATTACATCAGGTGCTATCCATTTAGTCATTATTTCTCTAACTACTGTTATGTCCAGCTGATGGAAATTACTCAGTTTGAAGTCTTGTCTTAATCAGCTAATATTACACCATAATTTAGTTTAAATAATAGTATAAGAATCCTTTGAAGCATCTTTTTTGAAGACAATTTAATCAACAAAATCTTTTAACTTTTTAGCCCAGCTCTGCAAATTCATAAAGATCTAAGTACAGCAACTCAGAAATTAGGACCAGGCAATGGAGGCAGCCTTAGCAGATCATCTGGTCCACGTCTTCCTTATTCCCACAGGGGAAAAGTGGTCACCTTTGTCATTCTTCAGGACTACTTTGTTCTTTTCAGAGCCATGTTGCTTTGAGTCAGAGTCTTACTCATATGAATCAACTAAACAGCTTAATGACTGTTACGCCTATAAATTTATTTCCCTCTCAGTTTAATAGTTACAATACCTGCTCTCTGATAGCTTAATAATGTAAAAAATCTTCTACCTCTAATCATTAATTAAATATTTTTTTGGCTTTGAAAATCACAATTGGAAACAGCACGTCATGGTCAGACAGTTCAGGCTTAGATTTTTCCTTGCAGTTTTCACTTACAGCTTGTCCACTTTATTTCAGTGAAATGAGGGATTACAGCACAACAGATGAGGAGTGTAGTAAAGCTGGTCTAAAGACTGGCTGAATAGCAGGAGTGCAGTTTACTCCTTGTGTGGGTGGGCCAAAATTTGTTGTTGTCACTGAGGGTGAATGACCCTAAAATCAATTTTCCTTGCAGTGATTTTCCCCTTGGAAGCACAGCATAGATGAAGGCTGTTTGCAGGGTTTCCAGCTGACTGGACTGTGCTCAGCAGCCCTTTCCCTCAAAATGGGTCACAGGGGAAATTCACACCACCTTGCAAAACTTCTCTAGCTTCTAAATTCTGATTGTGAAACCTTGAAAAACCCCAAGCATGCTTTTCTGTTACATTTTTCTGTTTAAGTAGGGCGTATCTAGAGGGAGCTTGCTTAATGAAGCAAAACACCAAACCATTTTAAATACATTAAAACATTCAAGATCCCCAAAATCCCTCTAGAGCCGTTTGTGGAATTTGCAGTGATTTACTCTTCTGTATCATAAGCAAGTGCATATTAAGGAAAACAGGATTTACTAAGACTCTGAAGTGAACAAAGGTGGAAATTTCCTAGTGCTGAGTGTGCATGTGGCAGATATTAGCAGTAACATCTAGAACTCAGAAATGATAGGCACTGCCTTTCCCTCAGCATCACTTCCAGCAGAAAGCTGTAGAAATAAAGCTTGAGATTTAATGCATTATTTTTTAACCAAACAGCTTGGATTATTTTATATTTTTTCAGTAAAATTCACTATTGCAGTAGCAATTTGACAGCCTCTGTTTTACTTATTTGGTTTTTTTAACATTTTGTCCTGGGTCATCACTGTGCTTGGCATATTATAAAATAGACAAAGGATTGGATTCAGCAGTGCAAAGGAGCAGAGGAGAGCAATATGGAGAAAAATGCTTCACATCTCAGGGAGCTGAGGGTGGCTCCAGCTCAGGCAGAGGACAGATGAGCCCCGAGGCAGGTTGTGCCCCAGCTGGAGCAGTTTATAGACCATTGCATCAGCAGAGGAGAGCTCTGTGCAGGAAGCCCCTGTGACATCCCATTATGAGCATGACCCCAGCCCCTCCTGCATGGCTCTGGGGTGGCAGGCAGCCACTCACCGAGCCTGTTCACCTGCTCCAGGGCCTCCTGGGGGGGAAAGGGGGAACCTCCATGGGGCTTTTACAGCTGCATGAAACAATGACTTCTCTCCTTAGTCCTCACCCAGAGGATTTTTTAAGTCTGCTGTTGTATTAGTTGCAAGATTATTGCATCTCTTTTGCACAGTGCCCAGGAAACGAACTGCATTCCATGTAAAAATCAGCTGGAGGCATTTTGAAAAGTTATCAGTCTAATGGTGGACATTTTAGAGAAAAACAAGCCAAACATGCCGGGACTGTGTAATGGGGAAAAGCAGCCCACATGCAGAGCCTAAGTGTCTGTCTTTTACCACATTATTATACATCTCTCATGCTTGTCATTACCAAATCTTACCCATTTCCTTCACGAGTTTTTTCCTGCTGGGGAGGAAAAAAAAAAAAAAAGGTAGTGCTGACGGTGAGGGGGCTCTGAGTTGGCATAATTCACACACCAGGGAACTGAGGAGCAGGTGTTGGAATGCAAAAACTGGAGCAGGGGTTTGCTGCTCTTGCTGCCATGGCCTCAGCAGCTGTGCACAAGGAGTTCAGACCAAGTCTTGATCTGCTGGTTAAACCTGGCTGTAGGAACAGTAAGAGTTTTAATTCCATGGGGTATCTCTGATCTGTAGATAAGAGATGTAAACTTAGCAGTGTAGGAAGGTAATTCTTGTGTGTTACGTATAGCTAGAAACCAATAAATTGTCAAAAAACCTAAATGTTAATTAAAAAATAATGAAAAGCATGTTATCTAATGCTGTCCTAGTTGTAATATAATAACTTTTGGTAGGGGTTTCCCATTAGGAGAAAATCGACAAATATTTTCACTTGTCTTTGAAATGTTTATTTCTTTACTAAGTTTATACAGAATTATTCCCAACTTACTGTCTCTTCTAGTCTTAGGAAATTGGGCTAAAACCTGTTTTCTCTATTGTGCAGTTTGGACATATGATTTGCAATGCTGCAACAAGGAATGAAGCCTTTGTCTGTACCATGCTGCCTGGAGATTTCTTTTTAACATTCTCAGGAATACTGCAAAGAGAAATACCAAAAGATTTTTTGGGGATTTTTTTAAACCATAAACATAGGATTCTGCTTTCTCAAGTACAGGTTTCCTAATTAAATTTATGTCAGTTGTTTTACTCTGTGGCTGATAAAGCTCTTAGAACCTTAAGACAAAAAAATAGCCCTGTTCAGAAGCAAGAAATAAACCTCAATATTATGCGTAGTGGTCATTTAACACCCTCACACAATACTGGACTTAATGAAAAAAAATTCCTTAGAAAGAATATTGAATATTTTAGCAGTATTAATACTATACTATGGGTATAATGACATAAGGGTAAGAATGAGATACTACAACTATTTGAGATCATACAATAATCAAATTAGCTTAAAAACCCACAAACAATGCCTTTATTATCAAGTTGAAGATATCCATTAGGATACTGCTACAACTTGTTTCATTTTATAGATCTCTACTAAAAAGTCTATTCTTTCACTGTGCCTTAATTCACACACAGATAAAATTAATGCAGAAACATCCATTTTGTAGCATTTGAATTATGGGCTGGAGTATTGATTCAGAAACTTCTAGATTCAGACAGACCATCTTTACTGTCTTGCCAAAACTGCCCCCATCTACAAAAACACAGCTCAGAAGTTCTTTGCAGCTGCCATGCTCTCTGCTGAGCTTAATAAAGCTTAATATTGCAGCTCCACAGAAGCTGTGATCTTGTCAAATGATTAAAATTGTAGGGAGGCCTCTTTCATGTTAGTCTTTTCTCATTAACAGCAAGTAAATGAAGGCAAGTGATGCATTTAAATAAGGCCTGATGAAATTTTAGCCTTGAAATTTGTCAGTCCTTCATCACTATTGCATGATGTGAGCTCCAGATGCCAAGGCTGTGATGTGTAAAGATACTTGACATCTAAGTACTGAAAAGGGAGTGGTGACAGCTCAAATAGCTGAGGCTCTGCTGTTTCTCAATGCTGTCAGGTTGGAAGGGATGCTTTAAAGCATTAACAAGGCTGTGATCACCTAACCACACTATCCTAGTTGTAGCCTGCATTTTTTGTGACCTGCCATACCTGTAAATCACATGTTACTTTTTGAATTTCAGTCACAGAGTAGGGATGAATGTTTCAGAGCACATGCAATGACCATTCTGCTACTGTAGTTCTGCTCCATCGTGGTTCTTGAAACAGGAAAAAGTAGGTGAGATATAATTGGGCAAAGTTGATGCCAGTTCTAAATTGTAAAGCAGAGAGCATTAAAAGAAAAAAAGCCCAAACCATTAAACAAAAAAGTATGGTCTTGAAATTAAAGTTTAGTACATACAGTGTAGTGGTTCATGGCAGTGTAGGAAACCCTGGCCTTGAGGGCTGGCCAAAGGTTTCACAGGCATCTGTTTTCACCAGTTATTACTTTTTGAGGCTGGGCTGATGAAATATTCCTCTTTTGTATCTTCTCTTTGGAAATAAGCAAAAAACATGACAGACATAAATCACATCATACTTCTTCTTGAACACTTCTTTTATTTCTTCTCTCTGGTTTCTCACTTGGAATTGTGCATTTTCACAGGGTTTTTTACTCAGATCTCTACCCTGGCTGACGTGCAGGAGAACGTTATGGAATATCTGCATGTTCTCAGCCGACCAAAGGTCATTGACCAGGAGCACGATGTCGTGTGGACTGAGGCATACATTGACAGCACTGTAAGTCTGCTTGATAAATCAAAAATATTGTGGTAGAAACACTCATTATGAATCTGCTTTCTGTTGCTGGATTGTGCAGTGTAAGAATTGGGACCTGATATCTTCATGCTAAAAGAAAATAATTTTATATTACTGAGCTTTAGCAGATATTTATCCATTGTAATTACATAAAAAATACTGAAACAAACATAACTTGCAGTATGATTTTGATGTTTATGATTTCCAAACCTACATTTCTTGTATTAATCAAAAATGGCCATTGAACAGATATTGATTATATTGAGTAAACATTTTTTTTACATGTTTTAGAACATGTCAATGAATATGTGGGTATAAAGATACACACTGAAAAGAATCAATAGTTTTAGTGCCGAAAGGTGACTCAGTATCCAACTGTGGTATCTTGGGGAAGAACATTGAGAAGATTCTGCCTTTTGAAGTGCATTGAATGGGTGATATGTTAAAATAATTGTCATAATTTTCTAATTTTAACTTGACATCCCTGTGAAATATTAGAATTAAAGCACAACTTCCTATTATGCAGTGACTGAGCTCTTGTGGTACTTCTGTAGCATGTGTGGTAAATCATCAGATTTTCAGGTAAAAGTTGTTCATTTTGATGGATTGGTCTGAAATTAAGTTTCATCTATTTTCTATTGCTTATGATATTTCCTTTGTTCCAATTAAAATATTTTGGTTAGTGTATTATACATAGAACAAGAGTCTGTACAAATGTCTCCCATTTAGTTCAGGAGATGCCAAATATCCAATATAATGGATAGAAGATCACAAGTTACTCATGACACAGATGTTTCTTTCTTCCTGTTTTAAATTTTCACTTGATGGGTAAGGTGGGAGAATCTCACCAGCTTCACTCTGATATTTGGTGGTTTTTGTTTGTTTTGAGTCTGTGATGCTTCTAGATGGCTCAGTCTTAAATCTATATAAAATCACCCTGGGAATAGAGCTTTCATTTCATTTTTACTTTCATTTTTTAATTGTTTAGGCCTTTTCTAGTCTTCATTTGTGACCATGGGTAATGAAAAATAAGTGCTTTAACTGAAGTTATAAAGGAGAAACAAAAAGTTAATTGCTTTAGAAGGAATTAGCTTATCTCTGCTGCCTTTTTAAAAATAATGTATTAATCCAGTCTCCCCTTTGCTCTCTTTCTTTTATTGAACCACAAGATGAGATGAACAGAAAATATGTTTTATTACTGTGCCTTCAGGGCATCCCATGAAATGGGGAGATGACCAGGAGAATCTTGTTCTCATTCACTTATATTTTTTTTAATGCTTGAAGTAATCAGTGTGTGAATGTTGAAGGGAGTTTGTGTGTTTGCTAGCGAGAGTAGCAGGAAGACACTCAGGTAAGTGGTGTCCTGGTGCAACTCTTTTTCTTTGCCCATGAATCATTCATTAAAAGTATTGTAAACAAAATCTTCCTTCTTTCTCAGTACTAAGTCTCTACCCACCAACAAAGCACAAATTGCTGTCTCAGAATTAATTAGACACTTTTGCTTTTGCCTGTTAATCTGTATTTGCAGGGAGAAAAATACTCAAAAATTAGTCTAACTTTCAGGGATTCTCTTGTAGGTTATGGAAAAGCTAAGGGAAATTAACAACTTAATGTTGTGTGAAATGCTAATTGAGTACAGCAGAGGTGAGTAAAAGCAAGTGAATTTAAGAACACTAGAGGGAGTGTAGAGAGGGAATCTTGAGAAAAGCAGAAAATCAAAGACAATGGAGCTGTTACAATCTTGACGAATAGAACTGCATAAATCCAAACAAAATCTCTTTTGATGCAGTCAAAACATTTCCAGGTTCTTCTCTTTATCTCCTCTTGTTTTCCTGCCCTCTTGACTAAACTGATCAATGTCTCTGTGAACACAGTCACACACTCACATATATAAATATACATGCCTGCACTCGTGCATACATGCACACATATATTTTAAGTGCATGAAAGCTCCATTCAGGACCTTAATGTGTTGGATTCTATAAGAAAAGATTGAAAAATAAAATGACATTATCTGCTTACTTGCAAACTACCTTTTTCATCCCATTCTTCCCACAAAAAAATACAAAAAAACCAACCAAAACCCCAAACCAAACAGACAAAGTAACAGGATAAATTAGGGTATATAATACAAAATATACAATATGAAACTTGAAAATAGGAATGAAGAGAACCTTTTACCAAACCAGGTTTGCTTCTGCCTCAGCTAAAGCTACCTGAGTGCTGTTTTCAGAGACAAATTCCCTGACCATCTCTATGGCTTTGACATTGGAAGTGCTGTTAAAATAATCCTCTCCATCTCATAACTTGTTGATTTTCACAGAGAGTTTGTGCGGCTGCTGCTTGGACCTTTCCCAGTTAAAAATATTAGTGTGTTTCCAGACAGCTTAAACGTTCTTATCACCCAGCAGTGCGTGAACAGCCAGGGTTAGATTCCCCGGGCTACATTTGCATGGTTGCACTCAGTGTCACTGTGCCCTAACAGCATGGAACACACTTCCCCCAAACAGCAGAGCTGACTGGCCAGCTGTGCTGTTTCTGAGCAAGCAACATTAGGCTGTAACATTCAAGAATCCTGACAGAAATAAGCTGGATGGTAATCATCTTGGTGTAGAAAATACTTCCCCTGTCACCCCAGACTGTTCTCATCCAGTATTTGTGCAGGACAAAGGCATCTGTGAAAGCCTGAAGTTAGTTAATTTAAGTGTTTGATACCATTTAGGAATATTCTCAGAAGAGTTTTGCTACTGAAACAAAGCATCTAATTCCTGTGTCTGTTCACCTTTCCTGTAAGAGGATGTCTGCAAAATGTTCATACAGCTGCCTCTTCAACATGGCTTTGGCATTCCTGAGGAGCTTCACATACTATTGGAAAAAATATGACCTTTATAGAAGTGGAAATCTCTGGCAAGGTGTCATATGCAGAAAGCATGACATGGAACAACCTTTGTGTGTCAGGGCTGTGTCCTTTGGCACTGTCAGGATTGCTGGTTGATGTAAAGCGACTGAGACAAGGCCTCTCTGGTGACTCCATGCTTCCCTTTTTCCTGTCCCTGGACTTTTTTCTCTCCCCAGTGTTTCCTGTCTTTCTGAAGAGTTAACCAGAGACCTTCTCCAGTCATTTTTAGTTACCCTTCATCAGAAAATTAGTTGTGTTTGTTTCCTTTAAACCCAGGATTTCATGTTGGAAATATGATTATCACTGTGTAAATCCTCATTTCTTTGAAAACCAGGACTTTTGACATAGGAGTGGTACAATTTTAACAAGTGTTACTGGCTCTTGGAGAAACAATAGGTTTCTGAAAAAAATTGAATTTAGGTTTGTGGGGAGCTGAACTGGCTGTATTGGTGTTGGTAGTCACCTGGGAAACAGTCTTTAGAGGATTATCTTGGGCTAATTCCAAAGTCATCTTCAGAATAGTTGGGAATGCTAGTCTTGTAATAGCCTGGCAGCTGAAGTACTGCCAATACCTTTGGGCTAAAATGTTGGAATTGAATTCTGTGATATGTACCAGCCAGCTTCCTGTCTTCTGATTGAGTCCTCTGATTCCTAATTCCACACCTTTCCTTGGTCTTATTCTCTTTTTGTACTTCTCTGCTCAGCGAGTTTGACACACCGCACAAGTGGATGAGCTCTGTTGGATCTATGGAATTCTGTAAGGGTCTTTGGGCTGTGCCAAAGACAGAGTGAGGGGTCAGGTGGAAGATTATTAATTGTGGAGTTAATAGGAGAAGAAATTGTCTTGCTGCCTGTTGCTGTTCAGCTGTACAGCCCAGAGATGCTGTAGGAAATAGCTCCAAAGGTTGCAGATGGGATATGTGCGCTCCAGACAGTGAGGTCTGGGCATCAATCCTACAGAAAAGTCTCAACACAATTTTTCTCTCAAAAACAGGTCACAGTTGGATCTGATATCTGTCCTTCAGCATTGCTAAGGCCCATAAGTATGAAATGGTTCTGAAAATAAAATAACTTAATGCTTAAAAAAGAGGAGATTTCTGAATGATAGCTTTCAAATGTAAGCAGAAAGGAATTCTAAAACTATCATAGTATTTCAGTGAGGAAACAGTTTTAAAGTAGTCAATGACTTTTAAGAATGCACCAGTCAATGAAAGTGAATATTTTGAAAGGAAAAGGAATATGGGCTGGGCATCAAAATATTCAAGTGCAGCAATACATAGAGGTCATCAACAAAGGACCTATTTGGACCTTTGTTACTCTTCCTGGTGGAATTTGTTCCTCATAAGTGTACCTGAATATATCCTCTGGAACTAATGTACCACTGAGCTCATCTTCAGGCTGTTGGTCTCCAGCTGGGAGCAGATTCAGGCAAACATTGCCACTCTGTTCAGTTTCCAATCAGAAGAGTTATTTGCTTAAAAAGAACAAGTTATTGTTTCACTGAATATTTTGAGATGAATGTCTGATGCTCCAGAATTTAAGGGTTCATTTAAAGCAGTAATGTTTTGAGTTATTACAGGTCATGGTTCATCATAATATGAATGGTGGATGCTTTTGGTCTTTGTAATTTCCTTTTGTGTCAGAGTACCATGTGTTGATTCTTCATTTGCATTATCCCCACATTATCACAGACATAGATTCTATTACAATTCTAGTTCATTTCTACAGTTGCTGTTGTATATATGTGTATTCGTAAATATAAATATATTTTCCTCATGTCTTCCTTTTTTTGAAGGAGGTAATTTGAAAGTATTTTGAAGGAGGTATTTGAAAGTATTTCCTGATCAAGAGACTGATGCCGTCCTAGGAAGGCGACCAAGAACCCTATGGGGCAGTAAATTGAGATAGCTCCACTGAAGTAAAGCCTTTAATAGCCATTTCTAAAATACTTATGATGGGTGCTACAATTACATTATTACATATGCAGTAAAATAAATTCAATTTATTCATCCTTTAAAAAATCAAGTGCTATGTAAGCATACTTTTTACTCTGATCCAAGTTCTTTGCAGAAATACAGCAGCA